ATGTCAGGAGTACTGATTGTCCCAAGGGACTTCTGGTTACCATAATACGAACCATCAGAGGCATTAGTTTGCTGTAGTGTTTCCAATTGAAATATTTATAGAAAACCCACATATACATCAAGCCTACTGCAGAATATATTCCACAATTTTTGCTGAAACTTGTAGAGCCTATTTTAACTCTCTCCCCTGTAATCCTAGCCACACTTTGTACTTCTGGCCATTGTACTTCTGGCCAGAAGTACAAGTAAATGAAATTTATTCACAGAGATTATCAGAGCCATGAATCCACCACAAGGGGATGCTAACAAAGCAAAGTGAGTGATTAACTCTCTCACATTGCACATACTGAATATATCTAAAAATATGAAGCCAGTTAAATTCTATGCAGTCATGAACTCAGTCACAGTAAGTGGAGTTACACCAGCAAAGTCCAGTACATGCCACGTTAATGTTAGTAGGATAACAATATGTTTCACTTACCATTGTATTACATTGGAACAATTAAAAAAAATAATTTCCTTGTTTAAGAAAAGTGGAGCTGCCGGTGCTCACTATAGCATTTAAGCAGTCCAGTACATTTTAAAGTTCAAACCTTAGTTAGGAGAAAGGAGCAAGTAAGTGTCAAATGTAATCCTTTGTTGCAGCTACTTTTGGCCAGAGACAACTTTCTACAAAGGTGAATTAACAGGGGAACAGCATTGCTGCTGCCCTTCTAAAGAAGAAGGTGTCAAATATTCTGGAACAGTTAGCTTGTCCTCTACTTCCTTCTCTTGAACCTCTGGCTCAAATACTGGTAACTGGGCCTCTTCCCAAAAAGACAAACTGTAGAGATTTCTATAGGTTTTATCTTGCTTTTCCTGAGTGGTATGCCTCATAGGTTTTGGCCAAAGTGCTTCTGAAGAGAATTGCTGGGAGGAAGGTTTGCCATATAACATCTGGCTTTGTTTTATCAGGCCACCAAGCCTTTGGTCATTTTCCCTGGAGCCTGTTCATTTCCTTGATATGACTCAGATAAAGGGGACTGAGACAGGAGAACAATGACTAGTTTCTCCCTCAGCAGGTATAGACAATTCAAGATAGCTTTGCCCTGTTCTGGGCAGTTCTTTGGTTTATGTCTCCGCCTATTAGATTTCCACTCCAACTGTGAAGGAAAAATAGGGCTCTCCAACTTCTCTGAGGATTTACTTTTGTCTTGGAAAACCTTCTACCCCACATGCCCTAAAGTTTGGCTTTCCTTCTTAGAAAGAGGTCTTCTCTCTGCTCCTTAGTCTCTTGGCCTGTGTCTTTGACGAACAACAGGGCTTGCTCTTGCCCACAAATCCACATCCCAAAAGGTTACAAATCTCAGCCCTGCAAGGTCTGAGGTGAAGGAGCAGTCCAGTGACCATTCTGGTGAAGTTAACCTCTGGTACCCAGAGATGCTGGACTAAACCTGCCAATACAAGCTGTAAAAGGAAACTCATTTGAGAGTGACATCATAAAGGAGCTAAATAATCTCCTGGTAAAAATACAGCAGGAAGGGGTGGACTGAAAGGATGAGGTGGGCCAAGTGGCCCAATTAATTGGTCATTCAGGTCCAAGCTGCTTTCCTACCCTTTCCTCCATGGCCCGGAGCTATGAGAAGAGACTGTTGATAGCAGTGGCTGATGATACATGCCTGGGCAGTTATGTGTTTTTTCCCATCCAACTTACTTCTGCCAGACCTCCTGGGAGGCAGGAGAGGAAATGAGATAGGAACCCCCAGAACACTCTGCTTTGCTGACACTTAGTTCTTTGAACCAACCTGTTTCCCTGCTCAACAGAGGGAGGCTTAAGTAATCCCTGGCTGGCTAGGGTCTCTGTGGACAGCCCTTGCTTATTTTGCTCAAAGAGCTGAAGCCTATCCAGTCAAACCTGCCTCTAGCTGAGATAAAAAACATAGAAGAACTGGCAGGCTCCTTAGCCGCTTGGATCATACCCTTTCTTCCAGTCCTGCCCAAGTCCAGTTTTGTCCTCTAAGCTGCAAGCAAAAAACCTGTTGTAAAGGATTCTTAAACCTTCCTGTGTAGAACAAAGGTTCTACCCCGCCACCAAATACTCTGTGGGCAGTAGGAAATCAGGCACTACAGAAGTCACTAGACTAGTCAATAGGAAAAAAATTACTATCACGTTCTTACAGGATGTAACAAAAATGTTACCAGGTGGGCCAAAATGTCAATTGTATTGAGCTAGGATATCTACAAAGAGTTTAATTACAAGCGTTAGCCATTTTAACATGAAGTGAAATACACGACTGGGACACGTTTTCTTCTGCCCACCACACTTCACCGTTCCCCAGATCTCATTAACCCAGCTCCAGAGGAAACACATTCATCCAAATTACATTTGGTTTAAACTCAGCCATTTCATTTCTGAAACCTGGCTCTTTATTTTTGTACTTTTGTACAGCCAGCCTTTTGCTTCTCTTTCTTTGGTCCAATTTAAATAATTCTAGCAGTGATACTCTCCTAAAGGATGCCTTGCATCTGAAGAAGTGAGGTTCTTACCCACGAAAGCTTATGCTCCCAATACTTCTGTTAGTCTTAAAGGTGCCACAGGACCCTCTGTTGCTTTTTACAGATTCAGACTAACACGGCTACCCCTCTGATACTCTCCTAAAGGTACTTTGTCTCAGATCATTACTATTGACTCAGTATTTTCTATAAGGAATCATCCCAACAGTAAGACCATTAGGACAGCAAGAAATACTGAAGATCCCTAAGAAATCCCTTTGAAACAAAAATATTTTTGTAATATTGTTTTAAAAAGGTACCTACAGGTGTCAGTGGAATTGATTTAGATCAGTGGCTCTCAACCTTTCCAGACTACTGTACTCCTTTCAGGAGTGTGATTCGTCTTGCGTACCCCAAGCTTCACCATACTTCTAAACTACCCACTTACAAATAAAACAGACAAAAATACAAATGTCACAGCACACTATTACTGAAAAATGCTGACTTTCTTATCTGTACCATATAATTATAAAATAAATCAATTGAAATATAAATACTGCACTTACATTTCAGTGTATAGTATATAGAGCAGTATAAACAAGTCGTGTAAGAAATTTTAGTTTGTACTGACTCTGCTAGTGCTTTTAATGTAGCCTGTTGTAAAACTAGGCAAATATCTAGATGAGTCGATGTACCCCTGGAAGACTTCTGCATACCCCTGATTGAGAACCACTGATCTAGATTAAACCCATTTCAACAGTAATGAAATGCTAGGAACAATCACATATCTGTATGAGTTTATAGCAATCTTTCCAAAAGGCGCACTTAAAGAAAGGGCTTAAATGAATTCCACAGATCCTTTAATTCAACCAGCTGATCTACCTTTGACTTTTCAAGTATGTTCACCACAAAGAAGAATGTATAGGCAAGTTAACTGAAACAAAATGTTATAGCACTACACTGAGAAACATAACTGAAGTCTTTATTGTATACCACCTTAAAACAGCTGCACAAATTGCTCCTTTCGAGAAAGGCTCATTTAACAGACCATTCCAATGAGAGACATTATAAACCACCCTCCCCCTTCACTCTGAAAAAAGAATTAATATTTCAGTAGCATTATACATGTACAAAGCACTATACAAACATTAATTCTCATGACATCATTGTGGTGCAGGTAAATATGTATTATCCCAATTTTACAGATTGGGAAACAGAAGCAGAGAAATTAAGTAACTTGCCCAAGGTCACAACAGCAGAACCAGAATTAGGAATACGGAGGTCCTGACTTTTAATGCTATGCTCAGTCTTCCAGACGATACAGTCTCTCCAAGCTCTATGATTGTTTTCATCATATTGTTGTCTCTCCTTTTTCCATTTTCTTTCCCCATTTACATGACACTGGCATTTTGTTTACATAAAGGACTAGTACATAGCAAGCACTTTAATCCTTAATATAGTTTCCTAGTGAGAAAACTGTTCAATTTCCCCACACACACCCCAAAAAGTGATGGCCTCTTTCCATCACTTTCTTTATGTATTGTTCTAATCTTAGTTCTCTTACAATATACATAAAAGAGATCCAAGTCCCAAAGCTATACTCTTAACACAAACTTTTCTTAAAATTGTTGAAGTGGTGAGAAAAGTGACCACAACTAGAAAAACGTGAATTAAGTTTACCACTGTCAATTTATATCACCGCTGAATTTGAGGTTTCCGTATTGTGCAAGACACACACATATACGTTTAATGGAATCTGGCTATTTGCATGTAATTTGCTCAACAACAATCAGATATTGGAGGGACAGTGAAAGGTGCATGTATCACATATGATACAGATACATAAAAAGTCAATCAGTGGGTTAAGGACAAAGTGAGACATTTTCCTTTTTTTTTTTTTGGCTTCAGTTTGTAACCTGAAATATTTCTCCACCACCATTCCTACAATCTGTCATGGTAACAAACCTTACCTTCTACTAACTCTGTGACAACCATCGTTACCTATGGTTATTTGTTCCCAAATATCAAGAGTGAAGAACTAACCCAATTGATTTCTCCATTCAACTACAAAAGTACCAAACAGAGCACCAAACATAAGATTACTGTACTGGGATCAGGGGGAGTTGCCCTTCTCATTTGAAATCAGATAAGCCAATTTAATGAATATATTTAAGACAAAATTATAATGTGATTCAGTTAACTATAGCATTACGTGAGTCTCCGCTATAATTACACATACTTCATATTTATATATATTGCATATTCTCAGGAACATATTTGGGTGTTCTGGAACACATTGTTTATGCTTAGATTCCAAAAAAAGTTATCAGATAGTATGATGATTGCATCTTGTCACATTAAAACTGTTGCCTACTGCCAATTTAAAAATATATAGAAATATATTTCATATTTTGTGTGTTCATCTATATACACACTCCTTTTTATCATACTCCCCCATATTACATTTGTTCCAACAGTAAACCTGCAATATACCCATTAGCAATGACAGAACTGTAGTTTGTTACATACCTCCCAGGTGCACAACTCTTTCTAATACAGTACCATACAGTTCCATTCTCCTGAAGAAGTTTATTACTTTATTTCGTAAGGGCTGAATTTATATAGTACATTTCCCTGCGTCTGCGGAATAAATGCAACTAATTAGGTCATTTCTAAAGAGATACAAATGACATGAATAATTTCTGGAATTGTACTGACTTACGCCCACGTAAGTGTAATACTGCAAAAGATTATTAAACACCTATATACACAAGCTGCCTTTTACATCCCTAACGCATACATTTATACCAACTTCAGATAGTGAAGTAATACCCACTGATCAATATTATATGACAGTCTTCCTACTAAACAGCTTAATTGACAATCTTGGCCAAACAGTCTAAAACAGCTCTGCACTTTTAGGATCATGTTAATCAATTTTTATAGGAATTTTTTCTGATTAGAATAAGTCACATCTGTCCTATAGATTAAAACCACACGCATAAGACACTCGTTAAAATAAATCAATTTACTTTTAGAGTATTATTATTATTTAGTATCATGTTCTAGGATTCCCTGCTGTATTAACATTGAACTAGCAGAGGTCTTGCAAAATACAGGTTAATCAAAGATTTTATAACAATATTCTATTTTATGTATAATTGTAAAGGTTAAATTCAAAGTTAGAATGACAGGGAAGGAGGATTTCTGTCCTGATAAGGAACCAAGAAATAAACAACTGCTCTGTTTTGGGAATTGTAATTTTAGGAGAGATCTTACAATATTGCTAATTGATAAATGTTGGCTCCATAACACAGAAGTAAAGCTCCTATAATTGATTTGATTCTCCAAATGACCCAAGTTACTAACAATATCTTCCATCTTTCCTCCCTCTAAGTATCCGACAGCTATGGAAAGGTAGCATCACTGAATTCCATTCTCCTGCCTGTGTCAACATGCTGTATAAAATTCAGATTCAAGGGGAAAACCAGTTCTACAGAAAACAAAGACAGCCACTAGGAGGCCAAATCCTGTTAGAAAATCCTTTGCGTTTCTGCTAATACTAGAAGCAGTTTCCAATGGTTGATCACAGCCTTTTCTGGAAGGGAAGAAATGGCTGTAAAGTTGAAAAGCCCTTTTCAGTTAGGTCAGTAAAGGAAGGACAATGTGCACACATGTTGTATGATGAAATTTACAAAGCTTTATTAGCATAAAGCTAGTAAATAGAGAACATGCATATACTATAGTCTATATGCATACAAGACACAAAATACAACAGGGCATTCCTACTGCAAATCATCAACTTCCAGAAAGCCTTATTTTATCATTTAAGATGGAATATTTGCCCAGCATGGTCCTTAGAGTTACTCAGCAATGGCGCTCTGGCTCTTGTATACTTCTTTGTAGAAACAATCTTAAATTGTTTAAACTTTTCCTGCTATGAAATTATTTATTATTTGCTGAACAAAACATACAGTTATATAACATTTTCTTCCAAAGCGAAAAGAGCAACCACCTACTGTAAAAGAGTTCATAGCACCACCTATATTTCCAAACAGTGCGCAGACACAGGTTGGCAACCAAAGGCAAACAGAGACACCGAGCAAGCAGCAGGATTCCTGGCCACTGCAACAACTGACACTCTCATGTATTTTGTTAGGACAAAACGCTGCCAGCCCCATATGGCCCAAAAGAGAAATGGGGAGAGCAGAAGGTTAGTGGCAGGGGCTGAAAGAGGAAGTGTTGGGGGGGAGGGGCAGAATGTAATGAGGGAAGCCCGGCGGTGGGGCTAAAACGGCAGTTGGAGATATGGGGAAGGGGGTTCGGTCATGGTGGGGCGATGGAGGAATGATTCAGAGGTATGGGGGGGCTGGATCATGTTGGGGGTATAAAAGGGCTGGCTAGGGGCGGGGGGGGGCATCTGAGGCTGGGTCACCGGGCGGGTAACGGGGAGCTGCGACACGGGGGGGACTGACTGGCTGGCTCGGGACTAACGGTCACGGGACGAACGGGGCTGGGTCC